GAGACTTGCAAACGTTCGTTCTTCAGAAACGCATGCTTCGAACATCATCGCGCGACAAAGTCGTACGACGTAAAAACTCCGACGAGCGTTTGTAACACCATTCGTCTCTCGCGAAGGATGCGGGCGGGTTGTAAAAACGACAAAAAACACGAATGCGGCGTTTCTTTTGTAAAATCTGCAGTTTGCAAAAACCCGTAAACCATCTTTGTTACATGCAGCCTCTCTCTCGCGAAGACAGATCCTCCGTTGTTGAGTGCGGCGGGGATTCTTCTGTATTTGCGAGAGAGAGCGAGCAGAATAACTCAGGTGAGCGGAAATGCAAAAAGGGACGAGTGGCATTCGTGTTTTATGATTTTGAGACACGCCAAGACCAATCACTTGAGGGAACCGAAATAAAAATTCACGTCCCGACTCTGTGTGTCGCGCAACAGATTTGCGATTCGTGCGCGGAGATAGATGATTTGTCGGTGCGATGCGAGTGGTGCGGAGTACGCGAATTTGTTTTTCGCCAAGACCCGGTAAAACAATTTATCGAATTCGCAACACGTCCTACAAAACATTTTACACATATTATTTGCATAGCGCATAACGCGAAATCATTCGACGCGCAGTTTATCCTTCGGCACATTGTAGAAAATTATTCCGGATTAGAACCTCATGTAATTTTAAACGGTACAAAAATTATGGTCCTAACAGCGAATCGCACGAAATTTATCGACAGTGTTAATTATATGCCAATGCGTTTGTCAGAATTACCGAAGGCCTTCGGGCCGTTACCAGATACTTGTGACAAAGGTGTCTTTCCGCACTTATTTAATACCGTCGATAATCAAGCATATGTCGGTCCACTACCCGATGTTCGTTATTACGCGCCCGAAACCATGCGAACAGAGGAACGCGAACGTTTTCTCGCGTGGCACGCAGAAATGTCGGGAAAAAATGTAATATTTGATTTCCAACGTGAAATACTCGAGTATTGTCGCACTGATGTTGATATCCTTCGCCGAGCATGCATGGCCTTCCGAAAAATATTCTTACAGCGGGGAAACGTGTGTCCATTCGAGGAATGTATAACTATCGCTTCAACGTGCATGAGAGTTTTTCGGAAAAACTTTTTGTGCGAAGGAGAAATAGGAATCATTTCTTCGGGTGGATATAGGTTTAAAGATAACCAGTCGCGCAAAGGCACGCAATGGTTAATTTTGAAGGAACGTGAGTTAGGTCATCGGATAATTCACGCGGGACGCGGACGTGAGTATCGTTTAGCGGAAGGCATGCTCGTCGATGGGTATTACGAATGCGAGAATGGGGGTGAGACGCGGCGTCACGTTTTGCAATTTCACGGTTGCTTTTTCACGGATGCCCGTCTTGCTATCCATTAAATCGCGATAAAACGCTCGAAAATTTTAACGACTCGTTTGACGCGCGTTACGAACGAACGGTTGCAACGTCTTGGCGATTAAGTCGTCAAGAATATATCCTAACAGAAAAATGGGAGTGCGTTTTCGACGAAGAAATGCGCGAGAATCGAGAGATGCGAGAATTTCTCGAAAATCACCCCATGGTGCAAATCCCACCTCTCGATCCTCGCGATGCATTTTTCGGCGGATGCACCGGCAATATCGCGACTCGATACGAGGTTACGGGCACCGAGAAGATACGGTACGTAGACGTATGTTCTCTGTACCCGTATGTACTCAAACCGGAGTTTTCCCAATTGGTCACCCGGATATTTATGTGGGCGAGGAATGCGCCGATTTAATTGGAATCGCGCCAAATTTTAATTTTACTCCGGTTGAGGGTCTCGTATGTAGCCGAGTACTCCCCCACGTGATCTCTTCCACCCTGTACTACTGTATCGCGTGCGCGGTAAATTATTATTTGCTCTTTGCCGTACATGTTGCGAATCATTTTCTTGCGACGCGTGCACTCACAACGATCCTGCGGAGCGAGTTCGAGGGCACATGGGTGTCTTGCGAATTATGCAAAGCAGTCGAAAAAGGATATCTCGTGACGCGGGTAGACGAAATTTGGCAGTACAAATCTACGCGTTATAACCCCGAAACGCGACAGGGAGGGTTGTTTACCGAATACATCAACACTTTTTTACAACTGAAACAAGAGGCGAGTGGGTGGCCGAGCGAATGCAACGACGATGTTACTAAAGAACGCTACCTAAGGGAGTATGAAGCAACCGAAGGTATCATTCTCGATAAAAACAACATCGTACGTAATTCCGGCTTACGCTCCGTCGCCAAACTCTGCCTTAATTCGTTTTGGGGGAAATTCGGCCAGCGGAGTAACCTGCTGAATACAGAAATAATAAGATCCCCTCAGCGTTTCGCCGAATTGCTGTCGAGTCCTGAACACGAGATAGTCGGTGTATTGCCTGTTAACGAGGATGCGATATACGTTTCATGGCGGTTAAAGAGCGAAGCGGTAGTACCTTCACCGATAACTAACGTGATGATAGCGGCATACACGACGGCACAGGCGCGATTAAAATTATACGAATATTTGGAAAAATTAGATCGTCGCGTATTATATTATGATACGGATTCATGTATATATACGAGCAGCGGTGATCCCGAGGAATACAAACCGCGTACAGGTAATTTTTTGGGTGACATGACCGACGAACTCGAGAGTTATGGGCGTGGTAGCTTCATCGAGGCGTTTGTCTCTAGACCGAAATTTTACGCGTACGTGGTACGTACACCGGACGCACGAAAATATGAAATATGTAAGATAAAGGGGATTAAATTGAATTTTGAAAACTCGAGGCTGCTTAATTTTAAGAGTATTTATAATTTATTATTAAATAGGGAAAAGGAGGAGGAAGAAGAGATAAATCTGCGATTTAAAACAATTCGCCGTACCGCGTTTCACGAAATAATAACGCGAAACGAGGTGAAAACGTGTGCTCCAGTTTTATTAAAACGCAGATTTATCGACAATCTTCTTTCTTATCCCTATGGTTTTACGATATAATATTTTACTTAAAATTAAGTTAGGTTAAGACTCGGATTTTCCCCGTCCTCCCACAAATGTAAATATGTACAGAATATGTATACGGAATAAATATGTTTGTAAAAATTAAGATTATTTTTATTTTAGTTATAGTTTATTTTAGTATTAAATTTAAGAAAAAAATGCGAAATTTGAAAAATGTATATTATACGGTTTCGATTAGAAAATGTAAAATTACAAGTGTAAATTTGCGTTTAGTTATTAAAAAAAAATATAATAAAAATATTTATTTCTCTAATCGTAAGAAAAAGTATAATAAAAATTTTGTAAAATTAAATTTTTAAATCCAATTTTTTCCCGCTTTCCTATAATTTTCCTATAACTTTCTTTTAT